GCTCTGTACAGTCTAATACCTATTCAATTCAAACTATAAGTTTGACATTTAGTTTATTTATCGGAATAAACGCATCTCATAGCTCATACTTTGAAAAATACACAACTCAAATGAAGACATGACTTCTAAGTTCACTGTTCATCTGCATATAAAATAAGAAGAGAACTACTCCTTTCTACTGGAGGCCCAAGTCTCATCATTTCGATATCGGGACTTAAAGACTCCAAATTTAAGTAGAGGAATTGTCAGGAATCAGCACAGAAGCAGAATACTATCTCTCCTCCTTTAGAGACACAGCTATTCAACTTTTGCAGTCTTCCTCATCTTGCAGAAGTGCGGCCAAGCCATTCATTTCTTACTCAAAGTGTGCACGGATGAAGCCACAGATCTAAAGACTGTCCCCTCTGCGACTGAAATTGTGCTGTGTAAACAATGTTATATACTCCAGCCGGAGGACATTTGAATTTATTTATAAAAAAATGATTAAGAATATTCATTAACTCAAACAAGGCTATTTACTCCCAAAGGTATTTTTGGAACTTATCCTTATGCTACTTGTAAAGTTAGCACTCTCATGTATTATTGCTTACAAACAGTACATCATCATACGCCTTCTAACAGAGCGGTACTGTGATCAGTTCATATGTATTTACAGGCTTTTTCGTTTTAAACAAGCTATAAAAACATTACATACTTTACAGACAATACAAATACTCAAGTCAAACAAATGGAATGCATAACAATAAGAAACGTCATAAAGGAAGACTGACATAAGTCCTTGATTGTCAAGACACATTTATATTTATATATAAACTCTAGCTGTGCAGAATCAAAGATTCAATCATAGGTACATCCTTATTTGATAAATCATATTTACAGCATGATATTGCATAAAAAAATAAAATAATGTTGTTTACACAATATTACCTTTCCATCCATTGGATTAAGGAAAGCAAGAAACAACTCTTAGAAATGTTTGCTTGCCTCAGTTTGTGTTTCCTACCAAAAGATGTAACTTTAAAAAGGAAACATAAGGTTTTCTATTTAGAGTAGAGCAAAAGCGACTATAAATTTATTTCCCTGACACAAAGCAATTTGAAATTGAACAAAAGTTTAAATTTTAACTTCAAGACATGTCTTTTCATTAGCAGTAATACTTCCTTAGCACTTGTCCTTTGCAAAGTGAGTTTTAGCTAAATGCATTACATGCCTAACATAAACATGCATTACCGTAAGTTGAATGAACTTTCAAAGTTACAAGGCTTCAGTTCAGTAAAACATTTAACACGAGGAACTGTAACATTATTCATTTGCTTCAGTACCAACCATGTAATTTGAAAGTTCACATGCGTACATACTGGTACCGACTGCATAAGCATATTTCTGCCTGTTAAAATTTCCAAACGGATTCCCAGGAGTATGAGGATTTTCCCTGTGATTTGTAATGGTATTAAAACAAACAAAGAAGAATAAAAATCAAAGCTCTCAAAGCCAAGAAAATTTAGTTAGCAAATATACATACATAAAGTAATCCAAAGTTGCAAAACTCAGAGTGGATTCATCCAAATATTCTGGTTCTTTTCAAATAGTTACTACATATGATACGAATACTATAAAAATATTCTGAACAAGCATGGAATATAATGTGTCTGTCCAGGTGGAAAGTTTTCATAGAAGAACATGAATACTTCAGAATAAACTCCAAAAGTTACAGTAGAACCCCAATAATTCGCAGCAATGCCTTAGAAACCCTTTACAAATGACAATTTTGAAAATAGTGAAGAAGCAGGCAATAAAAGCAAGGATGTCACGTCACAAAAGGTACTTTGTTCATTTATTTTGACAACTGTAATTTAGGTTTCAATACTTCTTCTACCTCCCAGTATACTAATAGAGATTCTGTAGTATACTTGGGTGAAGTAGTACAGTATTACTAATATGAGACCTCGCTACAGTACTTTTTAGACCATTGCAGAGAGGTGGGAAGAGACCATCGGGGATGTATAAACCTATCGGATGCTCTGATCAGCGGTCAGCGAATTAGCAAGATTTTACTGTACTTCTCAATGAACAATGAAAAGCTCCCATTATCCAAAAAAATGACAAGTACAATATAAAAACAATACAAGTGTTATTTCACATGAACACTTTCTTGTCCTATTTTCTTCTTGAAACACAATTTTCCTAAAGACAACACTAGGAGACACAAGATCATAAACATAGTTCTTTTATCATCCAATTTGTTTACCTTGTTATTCGGAAACCAACATACAGTAATACACATGGTTAATCCTTCTCCCCAAACCTCGTAATTTATGATTAACTCATTCTCAAATCAAATGAAGAAAAGGTAAATGCCTATTAGTATACCATTACAAGCTGATTCCTTCATTGTCTGTTATATTAATGGTAAAACATATCAAAGGATTCATGCTAAAAGGGACACTGTCAAGTAATTTAGGACCAAAATATGGCCTATTAATATGTGCATGTATATACATATATACACATGCTGTGTATATATATATAGTTCGGTAATAAATGTCATCAATTTCCTCTTTTTTAAATCAGCATTGCTTTATCCCAGAAGATATCCCCCAAAAAATTCCACCTTACACACACACACATTCAGTGCTTCCATGACCTTTAAGTAAGAAGGTCTGTTGTTAGCTCTGTGGAATATGAACGCTCACCCCAGCCTTATGCTGACCGACTGAACAATCTCAGTACAAGAACAGAACAGAAAACCAAAGTCCTTTTTTTCCAGACATACACGGAAAACTAACAAAAATCAACACAGACCAGATCAAAATGAAGAGTGTGCAGTTGTAGCAGATTAAAAGCAGCAAAAGACGAGCAGTGGAAAATGCTGTTAAATAACGTAATTATTAAACAAGCAAGAGCTTTTTACATAGTTAAACCTCCCAGAACTACATACACGCTTATTCTGGAATAAAAGGGCAGGTACTCAGGAAATCATAGCAGTATATTTGGTTAACAACTCTGGTACAGAAAGCTTCAAGCATCAGTGGACCAACTACTTAAACCACCGCTTTAATTGTACGTGTGGAAGAACCCTACGAGACAGTCCCTGTGGGCTAGACGGGGACTTCACCACCTGTCCTAAGGCACAGAGCATAGCTGTGATGGCTCAGCAGCAGGCAAGGAATGAGCTCCAACATAAAGAATAACAGTTCCTCGTCTGATTCCCACTTCGCTCTGGGGAAGAGCAAGTTCCTTCACTCTGTACAACAGCTGGCTCACTCAGGCACCCAAGCAGCGATTCCTAAGTATGAAGATGGAATGGAGCGAGAGCTACTCCCTTCTACTCCTCAATCACTTTCTCACAGCAGCATATCAATGCAATAACTTTTTAAAATAAAGTTGAGTCAGTCTCCTTCAGGAGAAACAGGCTTTATTCCTCTTACCTCGATATGGGGCCAGAGAAGTGCAGTAATAATCTAGCCCTTTGATTTTGTTTTGGCTTTTGTTGCTTGTTGTATTTAACAAATAGTACTACTAATGGCCATCTACTTGCCACAATGGGCCATTAGAACAGAGATGCCAACACAGTAATATTCAGGCAGCACAAGCTAGGATGCCATGGAAATGAGACACTGAAAACGAAACAATCGTTGCCAAGAGGTGGCTTCCTGGGTTACAAGGGCCGCAACTATTATGTCTGTGCAAACTAGAATGGAAAGTCAAAAAAACAAACTGACCAAAAAGGAAGAAAAACAGAGACATGAATTGTTTTAAAAACATTCTTTCAAAGAAATTCATTTACATGTATCATTAATAATCCATAAGGAATTTACTGTTCTTCCTTGGTGCTCATTCCTAATTCAGGGCCAAATATTCAGACAAAACTACTGGTAAGCCATAGCACGCTGAAACATCTTCCTATATTGTACACAGGGTCAATGAATCACAACAGAACCTGTTTCCTTACACAAAAGTACTAAGTAAGAAGTTTACAGAAATCGTATTTCCTGTCAATATAAGCAGCAAGGTATGGATAACAAACGCACCTTCTCCCTCAACTGTACCAAGTGAAGTTAGTGCTGTAATTCTGATACCGTAAGGGAAAAGTGACAGAGTGGGATTCGTTTTCTCATAATGACAATTAAGAAAAATATTGCTACGGCTTTGGGAAGAGGTGGGAACTGTTCTATGTCTTGCTCAAGTCCTTTCTTAAAAGACAGGATATATTCTAGCTCCTTGAGACATAGTCTTTTCTACTAACTGATGGCTTCATCTGAGAGATATCAGCTAGCAATAGTGCTGTAAAAGGATGTATGCAATCCTATTTAAAAAACCCCACCGTATATATATTTACCTATATATATATATACACGTGTGTGTGTGTGTGTTTTTCCCTGGTTAATCAGCCTACATTAGGCTTAAACTGCCTTAAACTACCAGACAGTGTCCCTTTAGGGAAGGTGCAATAGAATGAACATACAGTTCAAAAATCTGTAACTTGTTAACTTAAACTACACAATAGTTATGCTACTCAAATCTTACCACCTTGAAAATGCACACAGAACTATCTATCGTACCATACTGTATACTTCAAGACAAAGTACTATTCAAAAAAACATATTCATGGTACAGGGATAAACTTTGTAGTTTATTTATACTGTGAAATGCAACAAAAACTTCTGATCACTCGTCTATGCTGGAAAAAGAGATCCTGTTCACTAGCATTATTCAGCCGTTTTGGTTGGTAAAATTGTAATGACTTTTGCTAAGTTAGAACACTAAAAAAGATAGGGAATTTGAATGCCCACTTCTTCAGCTTTCGGGGATACCTTGATAAATTTAATGATCTGAATTGTCAAAATTCTAGATAGAGAATTAAAAGAGTTTTTGCAGAAGCTAAGAATACCCAATCTCAATGGATATTGAAGAGAATAACTGGAGCTGTACGAAATGAAAATGATGCAACCGTATCAAACCTAAAAATCTAAAACCGGTTTTATTTTTTTGCAAAATCAAAAACTATCAAGTTGACTAAGTGCTCTATGTTAATCATTATGAGTATGTAGGGTAAGGTACAATTAAGCTTTTAAATCCTGGAATACAGAGTTTGTGTAAGCATTATGCAACCGGGAATGTCATCTACAGAGTATTTTAACTAGAACTTCAAAATCTTGGTATCAGTGTATGAAAAAGTCATTAAAAAGTTACATCTAGATTCGGCTGTACAAAGAAATACACATTACTTCAGGAACGAAGTAAAGACTTTAGCAGTTAGGCATTTTGCTTAAAAAAGTGTTTAAAGTATTTTAAATTAATTAGACTTTTAAATAGTAGAGTTAGTCTATCAGAATTCATTTTTTCCTCCAAATGCAACTCGAGGTAATGCAAAGCAGAAATATAGGGCACATGGTCTAAAATTACTTTTGCGAGAGATGGAAGAAAGATTATTTTTCTATAAAATGCCATCTTTTAAAGTCACATTTGCTTGACTTTGAAACTTATTGTTTATTCTGTGTCTTTAGTACATGTTGATTCCCTGCTGAAGAGCAATGACTATGCTGACAAGCTTAGAACTGACAATATGAATAGGATCAGACAATAAACTGTCCTCCCAAAGCATACAAGGAAACCAGTAAGAAAACAATCATGGGGGAAAGTCTTACCTGGGGATTTTGTTTATTTTAAATTTCATAAAGGTAAAATATTTTCTGGATTCAAACAAGCGAATAATAAACTGCCTTTGATAGGGGCACCAACATCAGCCAGTTCAATGACTGGTGACTAACCGGAGGAAAAAAAAAAAGAATGAAGCAGTTATTGGTCTTGCTAGTATCGGCTTACTTTTGTTTTAACATAGGGCTCTTAAAAGCTGTACAGAACTCCATCTTATACAGAGCAACCCCCTTTTGACAAATGTGTTCTAAAGTGCCAGTATTATTTACAAAGATTTCTTAGCCAAAAGTCTGGCCCGTTGTGGCATCAGGTGAAGAAGTCATCCCAGCTCTGCTATCATTTACATTCACCAAGGGAAATTCTGGGAAATCAGCACTTGTCCCTGGTCCCCGAAGGTTCACCTGTCCATTGGCAGTGCTAAACTGAGATGATATTCCAGCTCTTGCCCCATGGTACTGAGCTCTAAAGGGCTGCTCAAAGGAGCTAATTTGATATGCTTGATGAACAGGCTGGGCCTCTGCTTTCTTCTGAGAAGTTACTTGATCCAAGAAGTCCTGTGTAGAAGAGGAAGAAGAATGATTTGCCTCATCACCTGAAAAGGGAAAAGGGTGCTGCGAATCACCAACCATTAGTCCAAAATGAGACTTGTCTGGAGTTGTTCTTAATGGAGAGTTCATTCCCGATCGAAAGCTATTGACGGGTATAGACGTGTAGACCTTCTCCATGGAAGGAAATGCTGGCTGGGCTGTTAGAGTCTGGTTATCAGTCACAAAATTAAGGCTCGGGTTGTTCAAATAGGCATCATTTTGGCTAGTTCTGTCCAAAGCTTGTTGCAAAAACTTTGAATATTCCTGTAACATACTAGCTTTATCTGATGAGGAAGCTTGAGAGCTTGTTCCAACTGTCTCAGATTGGGTGACCTCAGATACTTCAGAAGAATTGATTGATATACTGGAGGTCACCTCAGTGTCAGCCACACTGAAAGATATCTCATGTTGTCCATTAGCCTTGTGCGAGTAATGATCTAACAGAGTTTGCAGTACCTCATCTGGAATGACATTTTTGTCATGGTTACCTTTAATTTCAACATTCAGCGCCTGTGTGTCCAATATCGACGCTGTGGCAGTTTCATCAATGACGCTGGCCACAGCTGCCTGCGTCACTGAGGGTTGAGATGCTATGGTGCTTACATTCAAGGCATATTCTCTACTGTTATTACTAGCTGCTTGTAGATACCTCTTTTTCTTTAAAAACTGCATTGCATCATCATAATTGGTGCTGCTGTGTACAGGTTTACTGGGCCCTTCCTGTAACGTGTCAACTTGATCAATGTCAGCATTACCTTCAGAGTCCAGTAAACTTTGCTTATCCACAAGATCAAAGGCATACTTTGAAACCTTGCTGTCTTCATACGTGGATAAAGGTGAAATGGTTTGACTTTGCTCAAGTGGCTGTTTCAGACTCCTCTTGCTGTTAACTTTTTTGAGAACGAGCTTAGGTGGGTGTATTTCTCCAGAATTTGCTTCCTCTAAGTGCGACCCACTGACCGAAGAATGTGGCATCTCAACGGCATATTCTGCTACCATGTATTCATCTTTTACTTTAGTACTAGAAGAGTACAAAGGCAAATAGTCATTTTTGTCCTTCTTCTGTTCTGACTTATCTATACTTTCCTTATCCCCAGATTTCATTTTCTCTGTTTTCTGCCTTTTCTTCTTTGGCAAGGAGCTGTCTTTCATGGGTGTAGAGAAACCAGAATCTTCCTCCGATGGCAAAAAGCCAACTTTGGTGGCACTTCTGTTCGGTTTCTTGTCGCGGTTCTCATGGCACATACGTTTATGTTTCAGCACACGATCAGTCCTGGAGAAAAACTGCAAAAGATTTTTGTTATTATTATTATTATTATAGAAAAATAAATATATTAGCAGAAAGAAAAGAAACCTTTCATTCTAACAAATTTATTTGATGATTCTTCCACTTTACTAACTTCTAACGAAGGTTTCAAACAACAGTCTGTAATCAATAAAATCAAGTGCAGACAGTTGTGACTCTGTTCCAGCTGTGGACCAAGACCACCCACCTCAACAGAAAATAACATTCTTTATACATTTATTTGTATGCACATCACTACAACACCTGAAGAAAGTCCTATCTGTACTACTTGGGAATCGACTGGTGTTTTGTTTATTAATTGCAAAAGATTTCATTAGGTCATCTTACCTGCAAACAATATTCACATTGGTAAGGCTTCTCGCCACTGTGAGTTCTTTTGTGCCTTTCCATGTGATACTTCTGAATAAACCTCATACCACATTCATCACAACGAAATGGCTTTTCACCTGATAAAAAACATGTAGCAATGTTAATCTAAAAAAATAAATCAGTGTTCTCCCACACAATTACCAGGTCAAATACTACATTCTCTATTAGAAGTAATAAAGAGGATTTAGTCTGTTGCTATTGAAAAACAACCTAGGGCTTGCTCACATCACTATTTTCCCAGTACTCAGTCGCTGATGCCTCAAAATTATTTTAAGCTTTTACACTAAAAAATAAAAAGCCCTTTTAAAACTAAATTCTTACCCCCTCTTTCTAATGTAGGTGTAGATATCTGTCTTAAACATAACAAATGACAAATTACAAAGACAGTCTTCCTGAACTGCTGCTACATAATATTTTTTTTAGGGCAGACAATTGCATAAAAATACCTCAATTCTGTCACCAACTCATTTAAATCAAATCCATCCCTTCTAGAAGAGAATTATGCATTTCCAAGCTTTCAATTCAAAATCTTTGTAGGGTGCTCTGTATTTTCCACATTTTTTTCCCCTTATCTGTATGTAGAACTGAAATAACTGCTCTGGAAAAAATCCTACTATTTATCTATTTTCAAAAAAATTACTTAATTTAAAAATGTTTTATTTTAAAAACTAAGCTGAAAACAAGAAATCTCTTTAGCTGAACTGGTATACTTACAGGTTTTCCTGTTTGGCTGCTTTGTTTGTACGGTTTGGTTTTCTACTTTCATGAAACGTTTGTTCAGATAATATTCACTGCCCTGAACTCATCTTCAGTTCTCCCCTTATTTTTCCTCACAAAGAAGCCCTGCAATGATCCTTTCAGAACATGGAGTAAATCTATTTTTACTTCTTTTAACTTTTGCCTTACATCTTCCCTCTGATATTTTTCTTTTCTAGGTTTCTTTGACAAAACCTAAAAATTCCAAGAGCATTGAAAAGTTAGTTTTGCTTTTACAAAAGTTCAGTATTATTTAATAGAACTCACCCTGAACAACAGTAATCTTTCCTCTTAGTATTTACTACCAAGCCTTCTGAACTGACACAGATATCAGGGATTGTCTTGGCAGCATCTGTCAACATCCTCTTTTTCTGGATGCTGTACTGCTCTGATTTTTGGGATATAAATCATCTATCTTCTGTTTCCAGAAATATGCAGACTATTTTTCTGAGGTAGTTTTATTCTTAAAACTTATTTTATTCAATTGTTACTAATAATTATTATTTAAATGTTAATAAATTTAATGTATTATTTTAAATGTTGTTAGAGTGTATATTTTCAATTAGAATAAAGATATTTAGCCACATCTACAAATGGAAATATGACACCTTAAAATGAGATGCCAGTATTTACAGAAAGTAGAATAGAAAATATCTATGTCACCCACACATTTGCTCCTAGTCAGATCATTAACGCCCAGAGTTTCAACCTTCTTAATTCCAAGCAATCTCTCCTTTGGTAAGTCTATGCTCTGTTTCCAATTATTAATTCTTACCTCTCTGTGTGGCTTCTCAGCCAATCCCTTTCTTCAATGAAATTATTCCAATTTATTCTCTCCTAAATGAAATTACTTCCTCTCCTAAGATCTCTCAGCTTCCATCAGTTCTCTTTCTACAGGCTCACAACCTCAGCATCTTAACTCTTCTTTCACATTTAGTCAGTGACTAACTTTTACTATTTCTTGCTTCTTAATAATCACCGTAATTTTTTGCTTTTTTTCCAGTACTCTATAACACTTATCACATAATCCTCTCTCATACTATCTATAAGCAAATCCTCCTCTCTGGCCTATTTCTTAACTTCCAACCCCAGTTTCACTCTTCATGTTCTCTTTATTCATCAGGCACTCTTACTGCTATGGTGTTTTACTTGCACCAAGCCTGTTGAGACTTTCTGAACCAAATTCCCATCCCTGTCTCCACTTTAAAAGAAGACAAGGCAAAGGGCTTATGTCTCATTGTTCTAGTTCAACACACGGGAACTCTTCCATTCCCAAAGACAACTATTTAATCCGTGTTAATTGCTGTTTTCTTTCCCTTTGCTCCACTATTCTGTTATGTGTTTCCTTTAAATCGCCCCTTTGGATAACTCTCCCTATGCTGTCTGGAAGTTTGCTTTCACGCTCTCTCAAAATTTCTTACAGAAAGGAGCACCTGTTTGGGATGAAACCTATCCCAAGCCTTACAGAAGCCAAACCAAGTCAGGGAAGCAAGACAGCTCAGTCCTGTTGTAGCTCTGAAGAGCCCTCTAAGGAGCAATCTTGCTATCCCAGGAAGGCGCGAACGCAGAACACTTCACTGATACACCCACCTTCGGCCCTACGCCCATTCCTGTAAGCGAAAAGTCACAGCGTTCCTTAACATTCGTCTACTCAAGCTGGCTATCTGCTGGCAGCAGACTCTCCCAGCTACCTATTCGCTTTCCAAGGCTTACATAGGGCCAAACAGGGTTTCTGAGGTTTTTTGTTGTAAAGTATTACCACCACCAGGTACTTTGAAGACTTTGAGGGTACATACAAAGGCATTGCTGGCCATGCCTCAACAGGAAGAAAAGTTTGGGGACACTGCCTGGAGTTGCTCAGTACAACACAGAAAATAACATTTTTCAGTAGAATTCCAGAACACTCTGGAAGTAAGATTAAGAAACACTTTGTGAAACTGATACCATACTTAATTCTAGCTTTAATCTTCATGAGGACAATAATATTAGAAAAAGATTAAAAAATAATATGAAGATATGCCTCCTATAATAATTTCTTCTTAGCAGAGGCCTGAAACTTCAGATGCCTTCTGAAATTTTGTTGTACTTTTCAAACAGGATCTATCACAAGTGGAGGAGATCACTAATAATAAGCTTTTGCTAGTGCAGGGAGAATCCAGGATGTATTTTTCTGAAAATGTCTTGGTGAGTGGGAAAGAATCAGATGTAGAAAAAAAAAGGTCAAAATTTAAAAATACGATAATTATATGCATTATTTATGAAAACAGCCTATGTTTTGTGTCTACGTTGGAAATCTATTAAACTGAGCAACAGAACTATTCATAAAGTGTAGTACAAATAGTACCTGTATGAAGGCTGTAACAATTATAAACCCCCAGGGATTTTATAATCTAACCAGACAAAATACAAATTATAAAATACCAAAGGAGGCAATAAAAAAGCAGCATGACTGAATAATGAGGTGCTTGAATTGTCAGCCCCAATGTTGCTTTTTTTTTTTAAATGTAATCTCATCTTTTGTGTTTAAAATGGAAAGTAAGGTGGGTTGCAGAATTAGGACACATGAATGTATGAATGGGTAAGGTGTACAGAAACATCTCTAAGCAAAAAGTAAGCAGCCATATTTGAAAAAAAAAAACATTCAGCATCTTTGCGAGCCTAGTAAACTCAAAATATGGAAATATTTGTGTACCAATGACTTGACTCTCTTACAACTGAAATGGTGATTTTCTGTGTCATCTGTGACATGTTCAGCGGCAGGGTTCTAGCACTGCTGCCTTCCTCTACGTACAATTATTTCTACTAAGTGAATTTTGTATTAATGCAATGTCTGCTTTTAGATGCAACTATTTAATTATTTACACAGAATAAGGCTGTTCATTGATTGCTTCCTAACTCCCTCATAACATTTCATTTGAAGGAGTGGTTCAGGGAACCAAATTCAAATCACTAGCTGGAGCACCTGTAAATTCAAGGCTTGTAACAGGCATAAAACGGGGCTTCTAAGTGTTACCACTGTCTTCGATTGGCTTAAAATAAACTGGAAAATTTGACAAACATCTTTAGCAGAGCAAGAAACATCCTGTTTTTCATCAGTGTACAAAAGCTGGTGCTAAAAGTGGTCATTCAGAGAGATAAATATGCAAAGAAAAAAAGAAAAAATACTGTACTGAACTTATACCAAATATTTCTTAAAAGAGTATGAATATTACAAAGGACCTTTCCTTTACTTCCACCGAAGTCAAAAACAGACCCACTGCTCACCTTCTGGTGAGAGAAAAATCAGCTTTTCTGGATGTGTTCGATTACGCAGTCCTGAACAACAGTGTGACATTACACCAACAGTGTGACATTACACCAACAGTGTGACATTACACCAACAGCTAAGGCCCAGTAGTGAATGTTGTCATATACCAGTGAAGGCACAGACAGGTATGTAGAATGCCAACCAGCTATAACCGGGCCATGTCAAAAATTCAGCGGTAGTCAAATACTTGCTAACTAAACGGACTTCGAAAAAGCTTTGTCCACTCCTGGAAGCTGAGTCTTACATGTTTTCTCATAACCATCTACTAGTTGTCGCCTAGGAAAACAACCATAATCCAACAATTTGAACAGAATCACCATCTTCAATTTTCTGAGAAACAACCAAACTATACCTCAGGATGCTGAGGAAAGGAGGCAAACATAGTTATCTAAGAGTCAGTTAACAATATGGTTAATTTGTTAAATGGCAGCTTATTTTCTGCTAAACAACAACTAGTATGTGTAAGAGCTGGCAAAAAAACCTGCAACCCCACCACCACCACACCCTCCCTCCAAAGCTTACAATCAACACAGAATTCTCATTAGAGCTAGAAGTTGAATTTTGAAAGATAATTAAATCCATTTGTAAAATACTTGCAGACAAGTGTTAATTAACTGTATTGCCTAGACTCTCATTTTCAAAGCCATGTACAGGAAATAATCTTCATTTAAAAAAAAAAACAAAACAACCAAACAAACTTCTGAAAAAATGTGAAGACTGCATTTAAATTTTTGCCTTTTTTTTTGGTGGGGGGCAGTGAGCAGATAGACGGAAGAGAGTGAATGAGCATTCTTTTCAAGAATAGTATCTACACAAAGTGAAGGCAGCATGGTTCACCAATTCAGAGCCACAGGAAAGCCTAGGAGCAGAACAAAGACACTGGACAGAAGAATGGAGGACTCTTCTGTGGCTGACTGGCTGAAGGAAACCTACTTAGTCTGGACTTGTGGCAACCTACGATACAAAAATCCCATAAACAACAGGGCATTTGTGCATGTAACTCCCTGTACACTGCTCTGAAAATTCATTCTGCAGAGTTTTTTCTCCCTCTCAACTCTTACACATGCACACACTGCACTGCGTGTTAGTAGCTTTCATATCCATTTAAATGCTACAGCCAAGAAACACTGTGCACATTCACCAGCTCTGCTTTTCTGAAAAAGAGGCTGAGAAATTGGCATCTAGTCCAAAGGGACCATATTACAAAATATTTAAAGAGGGATTGAAAGGCCATGCACCAAAATGCCAAAAACCCAATGAAGCCAAACCTGTTAAAGAACGTGGTTTTGTGCAGTGCAAGAAGATAAAAAAAATAAACATGTACAAACTTTAACTCTCTTTGGCTTAAAACTTCAGGCCTTATTCGACCTATATTGAATATTTTCAAACTAAGGCTCTTATTTTTAGAACAGTTCTGAATTAAACATTTGGAAAAAAAAAAAAAAAGTAAAAGTAAAGCTGATACTAAAACCTTTGGGGTTAGGCATTTTGGCCATCTTAGTCCTGGCACTTTTCCATCAAATTCCAAAATAAATAAATACATAAATCTACTAAAATGTAACTTGGAAGTTCCCCTTGTCTGAATTAACTTGATACAACAAAAGACAGGACTGCTTAACAAACTTGGACTTTTATGAATGCACAAACTTCAGGATTTGCTACTCTGGGGTTATTTATAGAATACTACTTCCAGATTTGCTTTACTAGAGTTTAATCTCACTTTACAGCCAAAGAAAAATGGAGCAAGTTGAAAGCACAAAACTAATTTAATTTTTAAAGTTTTATTACATCTGTTAAGTTAAAACAAACTGCAGCAGGGTTCTAGGCTGCATACTTATTACCAGAAACCTTGCCTGAGTAGGGAAACAGTTTTTAAGCACGCCAGTAAAGATACTCAAGGCACTATACTCACCAGTATGAATCTTCTCATGCCTCTGTAGCAGGTACTTCTGTATGAAACGCATGTCGCACTGACTGCACTGAAATGGTTTTTCACCTTGAACAATATAATTCCACATCCGTAAGTTAATAACTACACACTGTTGTTTTCTGATAACTACTTTTGAGGTATAAAAAACCGTCTATTAAAAAAACCAGCATCTGAGCGAATTCCAAAAACACTCTAACACCAAAAAACATTAGCCTTACTACGTATAAGAACTGCAGAATTCTTTCCATGATCCTAAGAGTCATATTAAGACTAGCATGGAAGAATGATCTGAAACGGCTGTAATTTCCTCATGAACAAGATCAATCGTGATGCTGGCATAAGACTGCATTCAGGACACTGGCAAGCTATTATAATAGTAAGTACCTTTTTCACTTCTCCGAACCAGAGAGATACCTCATCAGGCAAATAAGCAGCCGGAGCACATTTTACAAAGGGGTCAATTTTGGCACTTAGGCTACAAGTCAACCCATTACTTTCTGATAAAGAAAGAAAAGAAACCTTGTAAACAGTTAGGTCTTCAGTTTATTAAACATATGTTGATTTTTTTTTCTTTTTCTGGTATTCTTTTGACACTTTGGTGCATGGAATCTCTAAGCTTAGATGCCAAGTTAGCTACACTCTTAAAACTGAAATTCGCATAGAGCTGAAAACATTTTTAACATAAGTAAACAACTCTTTATATAGCAGAAAAGACAAATTTGAAGTCAAGCAGTACCTGTATGAATGAAGACATGTCTCTGTAAATGGTAGTTGGTTCTAAAGGCAGCATTGCAATGCTCACAAACATGAGATTTGTGGGTTTTCAGACCAAGTGATCCATCCTCATTTATTGTAAGGATCTATTTTAAAAAGAGTAAAATTTGTTCTCACACTACCCTCTAAAGACGTCTTATTAACTACAAAAAAAATTATTAATTTTTTCGATGCAGAAAATTTAAATATTTCAGGTAAAACAATGCTAATTTCTAGAAAGCTATGTGTTAGGCTTTTAGTATACATTTCCAATTGCAGTCCAATCCAACTTGTGTCTTGTGTATTAAGACGTATTTCAACAGGACGGAGACAACAGCAGCTCATGGAAAATCAGCTTAGAGCTCCCCTATTCACAGCTGAGTCACTTTAGATGCTACTGTTTACTCTGTCCGTCTGTTGAAAAGGATGCAAAGTAACCAAACCACCTCTGGGCACTGAACCATGGATAATCATATCTTAAAGCAAAAGCGAAAAGTGATATTATTTTTTCAAATCACAACTGTAAATGTTTGCTAGAAGATATTAAAACTTATCCAGGATAGTCATATAAATTATCTACATCTACATAATTCCAATAGTCTCAAAGGCAAAATTATATTTTAAAAACCAAAACCCCAAAGCCAAACAATCAAGAAAATAGTATCATTCTTCTCCCCTTTCAAGTTTTTCACTCAATAAAATATTGCTGACTCGATATACATATCAGAGCATCCCCTTGATGAATTCAACTTGCCACACTCAATTGTTTCTGTGTCAAACAAAACGGCTATTTTCATATAAAGTTAAAAAAAATTAAATGGAAAAAATGCACCGTATCTACCTTATTCTATAAAGCTCATCATAGATTTTCTCTAATTTGTCAAAAAGAAAAAAAACAAACCCCAAACTCTCTACTATCTCTGGCAAGAGAATAAGAAAATCAATAAACAAATTACATTTCCAAAAGTCTTAACTGGAAACAGAAATATAAAGGAGAGCTTAAGTAATCTTAAATAAACAGTTTAGTCCTTTGCTATTAACAAAAAATAAAGGTCTGCTGGGGAAACACATCTGCAATTTGATTAGCTATGATGTTTTAGGTTTTATGATAATGACAGTGATGAGAGAATCAATAACTAACTTGCAATAATAGCAAATACTATAGGATCTACTTAAACAATTTTTAGTTCTGCTGCATCAAAACTCAGCAAGAGTGAAAGTCTCAAGCTAACAAATTCTTGTGCATTCACTCTGAAGGACAAGCACATTCATACGTTTTTAAGACTGGTATGTTACAGCTCCAGTAAGTCACAGATACAGACAAGTATAAAAAACTCTGTTCTGTAACAACATACAGCTAATAAAACACTGACTGGTTATTCGAAATAAATTTAAATACATCTTATGAAATATTTTTTCATATAGTATACTGAAACTTTAAAATAATTGTGCAGAAAACACACTTAATTTCACAGTTATCCTAAACATGGGCTCTTCTACTGCATCTATTCATTGCACCACCTCTTAAATAAAGAAAGGTAACTTCGTCAGTGCAGTCTTCCTAATAAAAGCAAAAAAAAAGCTTGTGCGTGTGTGTGTGCGTACGTGTGCGTGTATGTGTGTGCACGTGTTTGTGTGCATGGATGAGGGAAAAGTAGATGGGATTCATAAAAGCTACTGACTTTTTATTTAGATGATGACTATATCAATATAAAATAAAATTTAAAATGTTTCAGTATGTTACTTGACTTCCATTTGTAAAAGTCCCAGCTGCTCTTTGGATGGAAAATCAACCCTGTTACTCTGGGAATTCTAACTTAAACTGCAGTAGGCTCTCACCTATGTCAGTCCTTCGGCTTCTTTCTGCCTTTCTGCTCTGACAAGTTTGAAAAAAAAGGAAGAGAGACTGAAAAAGAACCTGTTTAATGATTCTCCTGATCATTTTTCAATCTTTTGGCATCTCAAAAGACTAACACTGACAGACTGGGAGATAAAAAGGAAGCATGCAAGTACGTGTCTGTAGAAAGAGGAACACACGCCTCTCCTACCTTGCCATGTTTCCATGGAAGTGATCTGTGGAGGTACTCAACCTAGGTCTCCTTTTTCTATCGAAGGGAAAAGGATCTTGATGCACAGGATCTGGAACTTGCTTCCACACCCAATCCGAAACACTTCCTCAACTTTCCAAGAACACTACAGATGCAACCTAATTTGACAGTGCTTTGAGGAGGACTGAGGGGTCCCAATACCAGGCCAACAAAAAGGAGGTTTTGGAGCTTTTCTTGGGGTTAGGGTGAGTTTTCCTTCAATGTATACACAGTCTGCGTTGATTTCAGAGTAAGCTTATTTTAATGCTGCTGTGTGATCATATATAACAGATTTTTGCCTATCAGAGCAGCCTGTATATGTTCTATTTTAAGTCTGAAGATTAATACTGATTTGGGGAATTACTAGAAGATATAACACTGCTACCTCATGACGTGAAATGATTCTGGTTTTATCTGAAGTGCGTCTCAATAGAAGAAAATTGTTTTCAGACATACAGGGATACATACTCTTCATGAATGGATCTACAAAACAAATTTTGAAGTAACAAACCAGCAGCTATGGTAAGAATCTTTTGATATAAAGAAATACATATATGAATATGATTATGACCACAGGAATATTCCCTACTGGTAAATTATTTTATATATATTAGTAAACTTTTTAGACTTTTCAAAACTACCATTTTAGATTTCTTTTTAAAAATTTTCACTACTATGCATGAAGCATATATAATTATCAGGCTCACATAAAAGCACAACTATTATTAGATAGATACAGAGTAATGATTTATAAATTGTCTACAAAGCTACTGACTCACAATTTAAAAAAAAATATTTGGAGAGAGAACTGCCTAGAGAGACAGACGTTAAAATATGTCAAGGGTTCATATTGCTACGAAGAGTTCAAAGAAAAACACTGTTATATCAGGTTTTGTTTTGGGTCTCTGGTGAACTTCAGAACTGCATCTTTACTGAGCAAACAAACAATTTCCAGCCTAACTACGTCAAATGCTAATGAAATTAGTCATAGTCAACCAAATCTTCAGGTTCTTTTAATCTTGGTTTTGCCAAATCAATGTCTTACTTTTGCTGGTGAACGCTGTTTTCTTTTCTTCTTTTTCTGCAAATCTACTGGCTCTCGTATTTGTTTTTTGTCTCGTTTCTGTTGTTCAGATGCATCAGTAAAGGTAATTTCTTGCTTTACACTGATCTGTTAAGATACCAAGTGCCAGTTTCAGGTAAGGTTCTCACTACAGAAAAGCAATTTTTCAATTTTAGAAGATGACAAACTGCTGAAACAGAAAACCTTTTTCTAAGGGAATTATCTTGTGGCTTCATTCTTTCAGAAATTTAAGTGAAAGGAATAATAAGTATCTGAAGTAAAAAGGGCATAGTTAATTTCTACAGTGACATTTTGATGTATCCTTTCATTCATCTCCCAAAGTCTTTTTTCCTTCTGACCTGTGGTGATTTTGAGATCAGTTCTTATATTAAAATCACTTCCATCTGTAAAACCATTCAGTTTTTCATACCTATTTTACTTTAGTCCGTGTGTTGTCATTGCAAGATTTAACGGAATAGTTTATTATATATTTAAGACAGAAGTATTTTTAAGAAAACAAGAATAGTGCTAATGAAGTTTTGTTCCAAAAAAATAATCTAATGTAAACTTTGATAAAAAACATGATACTCTTACATTTTTCTAATGCTTGAATCACCTGATCTACAGCTAACAGAGTAGTGTTTAACAATGCTACCTTTCTAAAGATTATTCTTTGTACATAAAGCTATCTACTTTTAAAGTCCTGGTAATTATCCTTTCTGTTTGAAGGGTAACAGTGATGGTGTGCTGCATTACAGACAGATGCTCTGTTTTCAAAAAGGAAGTCATCTATATTCTCTCTGGGAAAGCTGAGGTACACCTTCTATGAGATATCAAAGAGGGGCATATTTATGGTCATGTATGAAGTGTCACAGTCCAACCTGCAGTGTGAATGCAATTGCTAAGCGTCCACATATTTTGAAATCACACAAGATGCTTCCTATAGCAGAAGAAACTAAATAGTACTATGAACAGCATAAACAGTATGCACCTTTTAATAACGCTATTTATTCTGGTTTGTAGTTACCCTTGAACATTAAATATATTTAAAAGAGCATATTTTAACGCATTAATTCTATAGTAACAGCCTGCTTATAAAATATTTTTAAAACAGATACTTAAAGATTATACTTAATTGGCAAAATTTATCCACAGCCAGAGGCAAATGACATTTTCGTAAATAGCATCCAGTCATAAATATTTTGATAATCGAAATCCAAACAAGCAATTAATATATTCTTGCCAGAGTAGGATTAGACTATCAGATCAAGTTTCCTAGTAATTTCTCCAATATTTCACAAAGAAATCGCTTACAGGGACATTAACAGCATACTGCAGCCCTTGAGGAAGTCTATCTTGCGTATCCATGTCATCATCATTTTTTACCGTCTCCTCATGGACCATGAGTTCATCATGTGAAATCATCTCTTGCTGTCGAAGTTCGCTTTCCTGTAACACTTCGTCTGTCGCAAGAATTTCTTGGTGCGCCATAGTCCGATCTTGAAGCACTGCCTCTTGCCGTTCTCCCGATACTCCAGACTGGTCAGATACTGCACCCATCCCTACCATAGCCCTGGATGACTGCATTTGGTCTATGCCACCACATTTAAGAAATAATCCTCCCAGCTTGTCTTCAATGTTCATTCTTAAGTGCAATAACCTACAAAGAAAGTTTTAATAGTAAACATCTACAGTTGGTGCTCTTGCTTAAAATTTTTCACTTAAAAACATTTTATAACTGTCAGTACTCAACATACACACACATGCACTGCTAAAATTGATTTCCAAATAAACGCAAAAAGTTGGTATCATGGTTCAACGTGAAAATATTCTCCTTTCACACACATGCATGCGTACACAATTGAAGACTTTCCAATCAAAAGTTTAAAATCAAAGTGCCTTCTGATTACTGGCAAAATTCTGGTAATTAAATGATAGCTAATTCCTCCTTCTCATTCTTTAGAAAACTTTTTTTTCTGTGTGCCTTTTTTACTCTGTTCCCTTTTTCCATTTTGACTGTCTTTTACAAATGCCTCTTTCATATTGGTCCTGTTCTCCCTCCTTCCTCATCCTTTAAGTGCCCTTTCAGTGCTGCTACCCCAGGGCATACTGCAGCTGCTGGAACATCTTAATATCCACAAGTGAGAAAAAACTGGGCTGCATCAGAAGACGCGTGGCCAGCAGGACAATGGAGGTGATTCTGCCTCTCTACTCTGCTCTCGTGAGACCCCACCTGCAGTGCAGCGTTCAGCTCTGGCGTCCCCAACACAAGAAGGACATGGACCTGTTGGAGCAGGTCCAGAGGGCCACGAAGATGATCTGAGGGCTGGAGCACCTCTCCCTGTGAAGACAGGCTGAGAGAGTTGGGGCTGTTCAGCCTGGAGAAGAGAAGGCTCTGGGAAGACCTTATTGTGGCCTTTCAATACTTAAAGGTGGCTTATAAGAAAGATGGGGATAAACTTTTTATCAGGGCCTGTTGCAACAGGACAAGAGATAATGGATTTAAACTAAAAGAGGGTAGATTTAGAATAGATATAAGGAAGAAAGTTTTTACAATAAGGGTTGTGAAACACTGGAGTAGGTTGCCCACAGAGGTAGGTGATGTCCCATCCTTGGAAACACTCAAGGTCAGGTTGGATGGGGCTCTAGGCAATCTGATCTAGTTAAAGATGTCCCTGCTCATTGCAGGGGGGTTGGACACGGGGATCTTTAAAGGTCCCTTCCAACCCAAACTATTCTGTGATTCTATGAAAATGAAACTTTCTGGCTGAACGTATATATCAAATAAAGAATATAGAGGTCAAATCTGTTCATAAAAAAGGCATTTGCTTTCACACCCACTAATCAGGAGCATTAGTCAGGAAATACGAATTCCAGTCATGAACAGCAATGGCAGTACACTGACTTATGGTACACAGATAGATATAAAACCGTAATATTCCAACAAGTGCCATGACATTATTTTTTAACACAGGGCAGCAGGGTTTTGTGAAGCTGGAAGTGGCAGCATCTTCTTATTCTACCTATTATTACATATGCAAGGCAGTCCTAAGACGACTCTTCTACTCGGCGCACTGGATGTTCAGTCACAGCAATCAGTCTCCCTCACCCTATTCCCCAGGCGCACAACTCCTACCTGTTCTACACTGCTCTGGTCTACTCCTTCAGACAGACAGACATCCATCCATCCTTCCTCCTTCCCTCTATCTTCCCACAGCTGGAGGACAAAGGCTATGCAAAGGCTCCTGCAGATGCGGGGATGGGAGCAGAGGCACCGTGGAGTCGGACACCACACAGCAGGCCTTGCCAAAGCACGGGACGGAACCTTGGGGAGCATTATGACAGCATCAGCACCTCTGATTTTGATGCATTCGTAATTACGATATGAATGTGATGCTCGTATACTGCTACTCATCGGCTTCAAATTCCGTCCCCGTAAGAGCGCAGCATGGTGACAGGCTCCATCTCCAGTCAAGTTTTAAGTCAGAGGCCGTGCTTCTTTCCCTGCAGCTCTCGATGACAACTCATAACCAAAGAAATCAAGTCTCTCTGCCTAGAACTGGCAGGGCCACCCCCTGCAGAACTGCACCACTGTAATCCCCTGCCAGTTTAACAGCCTGCCAACATGCAGAAAGACTGAATGTACATAAAACGTTTACATTTCAATTTTCAGTTTGATCCATTTGATCACTTTCCAAATCATTGTCTATATCAGGAAATCTCTTGAAAATTCTTGATGTATCTTAAACATTTGTGAAGATTTCTTCATAACAAACTACACTGAGTTTACAAAATAAATAGTGGTCTTTCTTCAGGTGAGATCCTAGAGTACTTGATAGGAATGCCAGCCACCAGCAGGAACAGCTGGAAAAGATCTCAAAGTTCTCCTACATCACACTTGGTTTCAAATACTACTATTAGCTCTTGACCTTCTGAAAGTAAAATTAATCCAATTTCTTAAAAAAACAAACAAAGAAACGAACCAACCCACCACACACCCCCCAAAAAACTTTAAAAAGCCCGTTAACACCTTCTGGCAGCAACTCATGTTGTGTATCTTGAAAATGAAAGAACATTTGTCCCTATTCTGTATTGTAACAGGTTCTAAATTTCCAAATGTATCATAGAAAAGCTGACAGACAGGACAGTCTGACTTCTCTGAGTTTCAAATCTTTACGAGGCATGCCAAAGAAAGAAGCTTTTCAGTCAACTGGATTTTTTTTTTTAGTAAGCCTTCCTCTGCTGGAAGTCAGGAGGACAGCGTCACCAAGCTAAACCTGTTTATATATGACAATATCATCAACATTTTTAATTTTCTTCCTTCCTACGTAAAAAGCACATTGTAGGGACCAAAAAAAGCCTGTGACAGGAGGAGAACACGGGGAAAAATTCTGTTCAGAACATTTATGCTTGCAATTTGTCCTTTTTTGTTCTTCTGCAATTCTAACGTAAAGAACTTTGAAATCTTACTCTTGAATTTTGCTGCATCTGTTTTCAAATACAGACAATTCCTTAACGCCTTAAGTGAACCAGGTAGTGCTAGGTGACAAATTTACTCCCAAGTTCATCCACTTCACAGTAAGAGAACGAGATTTCACATGTCTTCAAGGGAAAATGCATGGCCAGTATGCTACACAGCCACCTGCAGACATTATATAATCCATGAAGTATCTTTTGGAGGTAACTGGGAAACCATACTGATAGTTTCTCAGCAATAACATAAACAAACAAACAAAAAAAATCCTGGCACAGCACTAAGGCCGAATTTTTTTCCACCAATGCAGATCTCCCAAAGAGATCTTGCAACAACATCCTAAAAGAAGAAAATGAAGATGGATTTATCATCTTATCAGTGTGGAATATCCTGTGCCAAGTAAGAAATGTGAGAAGGAACTGAAGTTCTTAAGAATTTGTCTCCCACGGAGCCATTATTTGCTAAGAGATGGTGCAAAAGATCTAAGGTTGAGACTGGTTTCTTGGGTAGGGCTTTTTAACTACGTAGCTTTAAATAGCCTCCAAGGAAAACAAGCAGATACATTTTATTCATTTCAGTCTTTATCCCAAGTTAATCCACGCTCAGGGTACATCTCACACAGATTGTCATTCACTATGCTTTTGTTTCACACTACAGAAATATGACAACGTAAGCTCAGTGCAGATTCTTTAGAAGAATGACGTAGACAGGTACTAGAAGAACTCAAGGTGCTGAAACACATTCAAAGGAGAACAGACAGTATCAAGTGTGAGAACACGGTGGCCCTAATCTGTCTGCTCAAGCCACTGAGGAAAACAGCACAGAAGGTTGTTCCACATGGAGGATACTGCCATATCACTCTGAAATCAGGTATGAATTGCCGAAATCCTGGATTTAAAGCTACTTCCTGGCAGGAAGGTAGGCAGGCAAATGGAGAGAGAGAGAGACTGAGTGTTTAACAGTGCAGACGAGCCTGCTACTCTCACCAACAAAAGCAGGAAGACTTGTGACACGCAGAATCCTACGACAGCTGGCAAGATACAGCAGCTGCCCAGAAGACAGGCTAGAAGTTTACTGGTGTTTATTGGTCTTGTTCTCTCCATTGCCAAGGACATGGAAACTTTTTCTTTCTCACCCTGACTAGTAAGCTTAGCAGAGTCATGCAACCAAAAGCACTCAAGTTGTTTTTCAGTCATGATCTTGAGTCATATCAGAAGCTGGTACAGTGAGTGCACTGCTTACTAAATCAGGCTTTCAAACATCTGGCTTTTCACAGAAAAATGACGAGAACTCATACTGTTAGGCTGCATATTCTCAGCGATAGAACACAATGTAAGTTATATGACACACAGGTACTGTTTTAAGATGAAGAACCACAGACAAAAATAAGCTATTAATCCAAACAAGAAGTATCGCAATTGCAATCAATTCAGTAAAACACATGTAATTTGTCAGCTGACACCTTTTGGTTCACAGAAAATGAATCTTATCTTTTAAATTGAAGATGAAGAGAAGTGCTCTTGGAAGAATGACAGCGTGATAAAGAAAACGTAAGTTAAAAGCATTCAAAACCAAGCTCACTTTACCAAGCCTGCAAAGATTAAATAAGTATTTTAAGTGCAAGACACATCTGTGAAATAAAGATCAACTTAAAATTGAGATTATGGGTCAGGATTAAAGGCAGGGCAGGGA